ACAGTGATTGACAGAGCCGAGAAAGCTTCCAAACAGAAGCGGAGAGGAAATCGATACTGCGCCGTGATTTCGATTGATGTGAAGAATGCATTCAATAGCGCCAGCTGGGAGGCCATAGAATGAGAGTTCCAGACTACTTACGAAATCGCTTAGAATTACGGCGGGAGTTCCACAGGGCTCCATTCTAGGTCCCACGCTGTGGAACGGAATGTACAATGGCGTGCTGACACTCAAGCTGCCCAAAGGAATTGAGATCGTTGGCTTTGCGGACTGTCCAGTAACTTCAAAGCAGTGCAGCGGGCAGAAATCACCGTTGGAGAGCACACCATTTTTTCGAAGCGCGTGCTGAAGTATCTGGGAGTGATGATCGACGACCGGCTAAACTTTAATAGCCACATCGAATATGCTTGCGAGAAGGCGGCGAAGGTCATCAACGCAATAGCCAGAATCATGTCGAACAATTCTGGTCCAAGCAGCAGCAAGAGGCGTCTTCTGGCGAGTGTGTCCTCATCGATACTAAGGTACGGAGGTCCAGCCTGGATTGAAGCGCTGAAAACGAAGCAGAACCAAAGGAAATTGAGCAGTACGTTCCGGCTCATGGCCATGCGAGTCGTGAGTGAGTACAGAACCATTTCGGAGGCAGTTTACGTTATCGCCGGTATGATCCCAATCGGCATCACCTTGGCGGAGGACTATGAGTGCTATATGACGAGAGAAACCAGAGGAGTACGAAAAATGGTGAGAACGGTGTCGATGGCTAAGTGGCAGCAGGAGTGGAATGCAGCAGAGAACGGTAGATGGACACACAGGCTAATACCGATTCTTTCGACCTGGGTGAACAGGAAGCATGGAGAAGTCAACTTCCACTTGACGCAGTTCCTGTCTGGTCATGGCTGCTTCAGGAAGTACCTGCATCGGTTCGGACACACAACGTCACCCTTCTGTCCGGAGTGTGGGAATGTGGAAGAATCACCGGAGCACGTGGTCTTCGAATGTCCTAGATTTGATGCTGTGCGATAGGAGATGCTCGCCCTTAGCACGGAAAATGTCGTCGAAGAAATGTGTCGAGAACAGTAACGCAGGTCATGTCAGCGCTGCAGAAAAAATGGCGAGAAGACCAGCTAGAAAGTAGTAATGTGCTCACACAAGTGCGAAGTGAAAGCCGAAGCCGGGAGAACTCTCCGTCGGAGTAGGCTGAATCCACCACCGGAGATTAGCCGAGTAGAACGTCGAGCCAAATGGCTCACAAATTGGAGAGACGGTCAGCGAACTGTGGAAGCGCCAGTTAGCTGAGGTAAAGCGAGGTGCACAGCCCTCTCCTAAGTAATACGACAAGTGGTTCTGGAGGAAAAGGGCAAGGCGTCGATGCGGTAAGAATCCCACACGCCATGTCACATGTCTGAGCTTTCTCCACTACTCTATCCATGCTCAGGAATAGGCTAAAGGTGAATAAGAAGCTCTACTATAATTTGATTTCGCATGCTTTTCTGCTGAACCTGCATTGGAGAGAATCGAAGCAAGTATGTGCGTCGTTCTACAATATTATAAATAAAAATAATCTAGAGCGTAGATAGAACACGACATAAAAATAATTGCATCGTCTGCATGGCCTACTTATATCATTCTCTGCGGTATTCGCTGCGGAGGATGATAGGGAATGCAACTAACATTGAATGTAATAATTTTTTGGTTTGCGTGTAGTTTCATTATATTCACGAAAGTTTCGAGTACTTCGATGATGATCAGAGAACTTCAAAGCAATTCCACGAACTTCAGGAAAATTGCAGAAACTTTCAAGGATTTCCGAGGACTTAGGAAATATTCCGAGAAACTCAGAAATGTTCCGAAAACTTCAGGGTCATTGTGGGATCTTCAGGGGAGTTATATGCATATCAGGATAATTTCCAGATCATTAGAAAATTTAGGAATCTTCAGGGAAGCACCAAAAACATCAGGGAAGTCCACGAAAGTTCAGAGAAGAATAAGAGAAAGTTACGCAAGCTTCAACAAAGTTTCCAAAACTTCTGGAAATTTATGGGTGCTTCGAGGAAACGTTAGGATCATGGCAACTCAATTAACTTTAGAATAATAGTGGAACTATTACAAAATACCTAAATATTTCTGGGAAGTCTAGAGAACTTTACAGAAGTTCAGAAATCTTTCGGACAGTTGGAATAACATCAGGAAAAGACGTAAAACACCAGGAAAGTCTAGACTTTCGAGGAAGTTCTAAGATGTAGAAGAATTAGATCCGATTGGCAGTCGAGTGATGCAAAATTTGAAATTTTTGCTCAACAGTCCTCAAACGATTTCAAATAGGGTTCTGATCAGCCTCCAAAATTTGAGGTCATTTGTTAAGGGAAGCTCAAAGAACTGAATTTTCAGGAAATCTTCGAGAATACAGCAGTTCAAAGAATTTCGGGAACTTCATTGAAGTTCAGAAAATGTTAGGGGAGATCCGAAAACTTCAGGGAAAATCCGAGATCTTCAAGTAAGTTTCATGAACATCAGCAGTATGCAAGAACTTTTTAAAAGAAGTTGCGTATGCTTTGAAGCAGTTTCTTAAATTGGGGGAACTTCAAGGAAGATGATAGTAGGTCTCTTAATTTCAGGGAAATATTGAGATGCCCCAACATTTTCAAATAGTTCAGAAAACTTCATAAAATGTTTGAAAGTTCCACCGAAGTTCAGAGGATTCTATTAAGTTCAGGTCAGTACTAAGAGCTTTATAATAAATTCTAGATTTCTAGGGAAGTTCCGAAAACGTCAAGGAAAATCAGAGAATCTTAGTACGGTTGCCGTAGCTTTGGAAAATTATAGAAATTTTCCGAGTACTTATGGGAAATTGTTAACTAGAAATTCCTTCTAGAATTCCTGAAAAAATGGGAACTCTTGTAAAGTCTAGAGAAGTGTAGTAAAGTATAAATATTTCAAGAGAGGTGTCACATCTGGGTAGTTATGAAAACTTTAATGCATTTTCATTTACTTCAGGAAAAGTTGGGAAATTCTGAGGAAAAGTACAATGAACTTCAGGGATGTCAAGACAAGAGAACTTCGAGGAAGTCCAGAGAAATTCACGAAAAATTCCGAGAACTTCAGGAAAGTTCCAGGATTTTCAAGGATGTTCTATGAAAATTGCAAGATCTCTATGGATTTTGCATAACAGCTAATATCTGATTGTAGCAGATAACAGTTACGTTTCAAGCTACGCTGTCTGTTGGAGATTATTATTCTCGCTTGAAATCATGGCGTCTATTGCCTAATTCCCAATTCTTATTTGTAAACGATGACAGTGACAAAAGCATGGTGGTGTAGATGGCTTATCAGAGCCTGGAATCAAGTCTCGTTTTAAAATTTGTGGCATGCTGATTGTCGAAATTTTTTACCAATAATCTAGTTTCAAATAGAGGGAACTTTCTTGCGTGTACATTCGGGTGGTTCAAAATATCGATTGATTCTAAATCAGGTCCAGATAATTCTTCCAAAAATTTGAGCTCATTTGCTATGGGAAATTTTGGATTATATTAACTCGAGTTTACCATACCCCCATAACCTCAATCAGCTGTCGCACTCTATTACGAATCAATCATCATTAGCCAAACCACATCATAACTGAATGCATTCATACGAAATCGCAAGACCCCACAAAGTGCAACAAGCAACATTCCATTTCGAATGCCCCCAACGTCGTTGTTGCCGTCCCCATATGGAGGTGGCCCCCTCGATTATCGTCAATCAAACCCTATTCGGAAGGTTCCCAATAACCCATTTCGAAGCGAATTAAATTCAAATAGATCAACTTCTTTTTTTTTCGCATGTATAGTTCACCGAAAAGCCACTGGCCAGCACACATATGGTGGCGGCTTCCATTGCTTTGATTTGTTTCTGGACCGTATTTAAATCGTCTATCTTTGATCGCATATTGATCCGATCGGGCGCGGATCCAGTTTATGATTAATAATATGTATCATTTGGAATTGGCCATTCAAATGGACACTGACAACGACGACGACGATGTGATTTGCGTGTCCAATTTGCCGCGGTCGTTCGCGCGCCTTGACATAAGGGGATCTGTCACAGAAAACCACACAAGCGTGTGGATCAATATATTTGCCATTTCGGTGCTTTTGTTTTTTGCTCCACTGTCTTATAGGTTAGGTTGGACCAGGGACACGGGTTGGCGAGTCATTTGTCACATCAGAATGGCGAGTGTCCCCCGTGGGGCTGCTTGGAATTTTTGTTCGGAAGATTGTTCTACCGAGATTGGCAACGTTTACCGTTTAGCTGACTAATGCCGATGGTAAATATTTGCTTTGCGTTCTATTTCCCCCGTAATCCAACGTGCGACAATGTATTCCTCTGCTACAATCCGGTTGAAGTAGGTGCGATAGCACTAATTGGATGGAATTATTGCCCGAAAAGCGACGAACAAAAAAAAAAAGGCAATGTGCCACATGGGTGCAAGTGTGACACATCCAGCAGGCGCTGCTTGCCTGGTGCCACAAAATAAACAGCTCACTGAAACCGAAAGTGATTTTTTCGCTTCGCGTTCGTGTGTTTTGGTCCGAGTTCCGCTTTCGGTTCGTCATCCGCAGCCGGCTTGCCCGCGTCGCGGACGGTCATTAAAAAAGTACGTTCGTTGACCCACATTCGGTTCGGGGCTCTCTTTTGTGATTATTATTCGCCATGTGTTCACGGTTCTCTCGGTGAGTTGTGAGTAGCAGTATTGATTTGTTTACTTCGTGTTTGCTTTCCTTTCTTCCGAAAAAAAGAAAAGACCAGTAGTTTTGTGTGATTCGATAATCGTGTTGTCGAATTAAATAATCATAAGTTCGAATGCCGGGGTGCTTGGAAAATTTCGGAGGTGACTGACCCGATTGCCATCGCAAACAGCTGTCAAATGGTAAGTGATGGAATGACGAATTCGTCATATTTATATAAAAATAGACTAAAACGTCCGAGCTTTGAAGAAATTGAAGCAAAGGCAGACTGAAACTTACGTTCGCCAGAACGGTGAGATGGTACATGGCCTGCTTTTCGAAATCTAGCGGTCCCAGCAGGAAGATGGTTCCTTCGGTCATCTCCGGCGAGATGATCTTCTGTCGGATGGCGAACAGCGGCGAACCCTATGAATGGATAGAAGGAATCGAAAATCAGCACACTGCTGTCAAGCACAACCCCAATATGGGGCAGAAAACTCACCCAGAGTTCCAGATAGACCGGCTTCGCCAGTAGGGGATTCTTGTTTGCCAGTACGTAGTCCAGTTCGGTTCCCTTTTTGGCATCCTGCGGAAAGGGAAGAAAAATGGCAATTAGATTAACGATTGAACCGGTAATTACTTTAGCAGAGTTAATGTTAATTAAGGTACTAATTGTATGGTACTGTATGTGCGTACGACGCGAACGATGGCTTCAACAGTCGGCAGCCAATCCAATCAATGCGGTTTCGGATTTCAATCGATACACCTGACAGATGGTGATAAATGGGCACCACGTGGGACAAACAATCCATTCAAATGTCGCGGAACCAAGCAGGCGACAGGATTTATGTCTCCGCTGCAACTTTGTAGCTCTGCGTCGGAACTGTAAACTGGAGCTGATCTTTTCCCGATCGAATTCGAATCCGGGAAAGGTTAAATTTCCGCACGAAAAGATTCAGAACTCTCGACAGAACTATTAACTAAACATGGTGCGCGGAAATGGCAATGACAGATGTGCGACCGCATATAAAATATGCCTGCATGGCAGTGGTATATTCTGCAAACATCATCGCTTAATACATAAGCTGTCAAGCGGTGGCTCCGGTGGCGGCGGTGAAGCTCTATGATAGGACCAGAGAGAGAGAGAGATAGATCCCATGTAAGGAAGTCCAGGAAATCGCGCGCTCGGGTTAATTTATTACGTAAAAGACCGCATCATCAATTTGCTGCCACCGTGCGTGGCATTTTCTATGCTGCTGGTTGGTGAAGAGAGATGACACACATTCCGGATCAGCAGCGCAGGAGGAACGCTGACCACAGTGCACTGAAGCTCGGGTGAGGTTGAGATGGGAGTTGGGGAATTCCTTCGGGTGGCACTCTGGTGGCAGCAGTAGAAATTGAGGTGACATGCCGAACAAAAAAGGGTTTCTTCGTGTTTACCGAGAAGAATGCTGTAGACGTTCTCTTGATTTTTCGAAGTTTGTACTGATGGTTAGATTTCTGCACCGTTGTTTCGTGATGTTTAGGCTATTTTTTACTGCGACATGTTTTTTTCTCTTGTGAACAGCGGAAATCTTTATGATGCCTCGAATACGATTAACACTAGTTTAGTAGATTGGTGTTATTGACAACTCCAATATATATTTTTTCACTTCCGGAATTGAATGATATACAATCTGAAATCCTTCAGGAACTCCTCCAACTTTCCCCCTGAAATTTCCTCTGCAAACCACCAAAGATCAAATATGCAGGGAATGGGCTCGGCGTAGTTTTTAGCACCCACGTTAAAGGTCAAGAGTTCGAATCTCATCTCGAGACAAGTCACGACTGACCTGAACATGTATTAATGTGGGGGAATTTCTTCATAAATTTATCAGATATTTGTCGGTAACTTTCAGGATGTTTTTGGAAGTCCATGGAGTTGTTCCTCCAGGGATTCATTCACAATCTTCTCCAGAACATTTTCTGGATTTTCTTCGAGAGTTCTTAGGAAGCTTTTCTACATTTATTCAAGGATCCACACTGAAATCCCTCCTAAACTCCTAGTGGTCACTGATGGAAACAATTTCTTGGTGAATTCTACCTTAAATCCCTCAGGGATCCATTTCATAATCCTGCGCAAATTCCACCTGGCACAATTAAAAAAAAAAATGTTTGGTGGGAATTGGGTTGTTTAGGGGTATTGAAGTAAATACATATTCGTTATCTGCATTAAAAATTGAACCGAAATCCAAAATTTCATCAATTGCGGTAAACTGGAACTATTTTAAATAAGTATGATTACATTAGCAAAAATCACCATATTACCGCCCCTTGGTACGACTTTGTATGGGAGCGAGCTGCCAACGAATAAATTTAGTGTCAGCGAACAAAAATTTAAATCTTGATTTAAAATTTCGAGATAAATGTCTACGGGATCGATGAAAATATCGTTGTGCTCAGAAAACGAAGCTCTATCAGATGGTGTATTTTTCGAAGTTAAACAACCAATTTAAAAAAAATATGCTTGTTATGTGCTTAAGGGATTTTTTAAATGATGCTTCAAAGATTTCTTCCATTATTTTCAAGGATCCATTCCGGAATCTAACAGAATCTTATTATGGAATCCTTGAACAATGTCGGTGGGAATCCTTTCATCAAAAATCCATAAAGAGTAACTTCAGGAAGCCAGGTATTTTTTCTGATAGCCATCAACTTCCTTTCGACTCCTTCAGAGATTTTTCCTGACTAGAATACTTCTTGTGTTCCATGGGGAACCCTTTTGTGATTTGTTTTGCAATGCATCTAAGATCTATTTCTGAATTCTTTCTTCAATATTTTGGGTAGTTCAGTGTGTATCCTTCAAGAATTTCACCTGATACATCGGCAACCGTATCAACCTTAGCGATCACAAACGAAGTGACAGACGGAGCGGCTGGAAAACTTTGGTAACAAACCTGCTATTGCAATTTTTCAGTGTACCACATGGCAACACTACTACTGGATTGTACACACATGGCAACACTAAATGTAGTAGAATGTTTTGGTTCTATCTCTTCCAGTGTACTCAAAACTGTTATGCACAAATGGAACACACTTTGCACACTGTCAAAGATCATTGCACACAAAATCAACTTTGTTCAAATCAAAACAAAAATACTAGCCTATCTGGTGGATGATGGCACAAGCTTCTAAGAAGTTTCTATTACAGCGAACCACACTATTTTAATTGATTTCTTAACCAGTTAGTCGTCTGTCACTTCGTTTGTGGTAACGATTGTGTTTAATTATCGTTTGTTGTATTTGTTTACTTTTTTTTATCGTGTCGAGCACAGGCATGGAAAATCATTTACATTCATTTCATGCATTCATTAACATTCATTTGCCCCTAACTTTTTTCATCAACAGAATTCCACAAAATGATGCATGGAGTTTTTATAGGTTTTGTTATTAGCTACAATTTTTGCCACTAACTCGAATCTGTATCTCTTATGCATCACGAGTTAGAGCGGGCAGAACTCGTTACTGTTTTTCAGTGAATGTAAAATTTGCTCTGGTTCGTCATGCATAAGAGATACGGATTTGGGTTTTTAACAAGAGTTGGAGCTAATAACAAAACCTAGAAAAGCTTCATGCATCATTTTGTAGAATTCTGTTGATGAAAAAAGTTAGGGGTAAATGAATGTAAATGAATGCACGAAATGAATGTAAATGATTTTCCATGCATGGCTCGAGCATATTATAAATTCATTGGAAGCATTTATTTGTGCAGTGTTTAGTATTTTTCGCGTTTACACATCCAAACACTCAAAGATAAATTAAATCAAAAAAGCTTAAAAAGTATGCAGTTTCCCGCTTCACCTTATTGAGTCCGAGCCATAATTACTTTGGCAGTAGTCATGCATGATTAAATTCGAAATAATCTTTCCAGTATTAAATTTTATTCTTTTTCAATACTTTTTTGCCAGTGAATAATCAAAAAAGATTAAAATTCAATCAAAAATTATTCAAATAGAATCAAAAATGATTAAAATTTATTCAAAAATAGATAATCTACAATCTAATCAACCATGATTAAACTGGGATTAATATCAGATGCTTATTTTTTAGAAAGAGAGGATTAATTTTTAATCATTCGATATGATTAAACTGAGTTTAATGTCAAATTGATTAAATTTCAAGCAAAATGGGAATAGTTCAATTTATCAGTGAAGATTTCGTAATCAGCGATTTTATAAAGTGCCTTTCTCTGCACTTGTTGTATTGTTATTGACTCTACCAATCTTCATCAGTGCCACCTCGAATCGATTAGTTGAACCACTGTTTAAAGCATAACAAATCGAGCAACCACGTCTTGTGTTGAGTCTACTTTTTGGCGCTTGCATTTATCAGTACTGATTCAGGGTGGTATGCACTCGTTGCCAAAAAGATGTTGGTGATTCTGATCGCATTACCTGCTATGGTTATTGCGGATGCTCGTTCCACGTGTTTTGTGCGCAAGTTGATCAACCACTAATGGAAATGTTAGGCGAACATGCACGCAACGCGTACTGTATGTGCGATAGCTGTGCTGATCTGCTCTCCAACGACCAGTTCCGGAGAATTGCCAAGCAAAATTCAGGTGCCTGTGGATACCTGGGACGGGACTTGACAATCGGGTAGCGATTTCGAGCCAATTTGCTGTTAAATCCGAGCCAGTTTCTGATTGGTCGATTTGGCAGTAGCAATCGTGGAATAAAAAGGGTAGAGGGTTCGCATCAATCTGGCTGCCAGTGATGTCGGAATCAATGTTGACGTCAATGGCGTTGATAATTGTTTATATTTGCAAAAGGAAAGCTGAAAAATTGAGTGCACTGCATGTTTTAAGCGATGGATATTTTTGTTTGTTTATGGCTGTTTTTATTGTGTTGAGCAAAAATGATATATAAACTGCAAGACTGCGGTAGAAACTCCTAATAAAATCCAAATTAAAATAGAAAAAAATATTTTACATTCCTGGCATCATTGGTCAACTCCGCCAAACACCACGCACAACTTTCCGAAGGGCATTCTTCAAAAACATTAAGAAGAGTGAGAAGCTCGATTGTCAAGTCCCGTCCCGGGTGGATACGATGGTTCATCAATTCAGTTGTAGCGAAAGTTGGGGCGAAATCATTCAAACCAATGACTAAGTCAGGAAGTGGAGAGACAACAATCAGACGAACCTGACAGTCAATACCTCTAATAGAAAGCGCGATGACGATGCTAAGTCCACTAGCAAGCTTCCTAGCGTTAGGGGTACCCAACCCGGGGGCAACTTGACAACTTCAGTATATTGCCAGTGTACCCCGACAATTTGGTGCAGGTGGTTCTGTCAAACTCACAAGTTTCAGAAAAGTTATCTGAATAGTGCGTATGCAGAAATGATGTACAATAAATAAAATCTAAGCTTGAAATTCATCTCATTGTCGCGCGCCCACCAAACCGGAACGCGCGTCTCTCGTCAAAATTGACATTAGTGACATAGGAACCCAAATAACATTTCAAGTTTTATCAATGTTTTATAGCATTCTACAAGTCTAAATAATGGTATACAGAACCTTCATAAAACCCAAATTGTTACTTGGG